TACAACAAAAAATAATTAAAGAAATATTATCATCTTTTTGGCCTCCAGTGCAACAATTTAACAATTTTAAAAATCATAATACAATTTCTGTTTCAGCCGACGTTTAATCATCGTCCCTTAGGGATTCTACCGTTAAATCTTCGGCAAAGACAGAAGCCATTATATTGGGCTAAGGAACGATATAACTGGCTATTGTTCCAGTGTAGTAATATCTACTGAAGGGACTAGAAAGATTAGTGAAGATTATCGAGAGGAAGAGTTTGGAAAGAAGTGGGAAGACATCGATTAAATATAGCTAAAGAATATAATTTTTTGAGGTGGCATCATTTATAAACATAGAACAGAGCTTATTTATGTATCAGACCAATAATTTACCCTCTACGACAAGAAATTGGCCACAACCACGACTGGATTGGACATGAAATCTTGAACATGTTTGGGCTTCTGTCTAGAGCGATAAGTCAAACAAATAATCCTAAACTAGTAAAATTTTAAGAGCTAATTATAATCGCTCAGGAGGAATGGAATAATTGATCTGAAAAGACAACTACAAAGAATGGCTTGGTTTGAAATTTGACACGTATAAATTGTGCTGGGTGAAAATTGCACAAATATGGGAACTATGAAGAAAATCAAATTATCTTATATAGGAGATAATGAAGAAATAAATTTGAATGATACGATTATTTCTTAATCATCTTTTTCTACTTCGCAAAAATCGGATTTAACTCTTTTTGATACCACACTTTCATAAAAATCTTAAACAACAAATTAACATGAAACTTCAGAAGACGAGGTCCACACTGGGCTCCAGATAGTTCGAAGATTATCGCTGTCATAATATTCGTATTCATCGACCTCGAAAACCCCCCGAGTAATGACTTTTGAGTGATTTCAAATGAAAAGAACATAAAACTTCACACATTGGCATACATATTGGCAAACATAACACCAAGTAAGAACAAAATCCTATCCCTTCGTACCATAGCAGGCTCGAACAACCGAGCCAAACAAATGCTAATGCTAAAAAAATGCTAATTAAGAGCCGTTCTTATTGTATGGCTGGTAAACCCTGAAGTACCTCCTTCGACATGTTTGCCAAAGCTCACCCAAATTCCTCTTGTGCGCTTCTTAATATATCGTCTACACAAACACGCCATCTTCTGATCCACAGCTCCTTAGTAGTCCACTACTTCTCCACATAAAACATCATTCATCACGTTTTGTCACACCACCACTACTACGCAAACAAAGAAGAGTACCCCTTCCTTAAAGAAGCGTAAAGCTTAAACAAGGTTAAGACTCTGGTTCCATAAAACTTCAGAAGCAGAGGTTCACCTTGGGTACCAGGTAGCTCATGGACTATTGCCGTTGTAATATTTATATTCATCAACCTCAAAAAGCCTCCGATTAATGACTTTTGATTGATTTCGAATGAAAATATCATAACATTCAGGGGACGAGGTCCACATTGGAAAATAACATAAAACTACAGGAGACGAGGTCTACCCTGGGCACCAGGAAGCTCGATGACCATCGCCGTTATCATATTCCTGTTCAGTGATCTCAAAAACCCATGAGTATCAAAATTAAACTTATTCCTATCTATATTTTCTTAGTTGCAAAGTTTTCATTTTCTACAGATTTTGGAAATGTATTTTCCTTATAAACAAAATGCAATTTTCATTGGGCCCCATGAATTTTGTTCACTAAGTTTCCTGGCATTTTCCCGAATCGAATGCAAAAAGTTCAGCTCTTGCTGCAGAAAATTGATAGGTTTAGTGCTTGTTCATCTTAAATACTTTTTTTCTCCCTTAGTTTTCGATATACCCTGCAAAAAATACCAATTTTAGACACCCTGTACAAGCGTTAATTACGAGTAGGGAAGACTAGCTTGAGTTGGGGAATCAGTGTAAAATTGTAGAATAATTTTTGTTGTAAAAAATTTAATTTATTGAGTAGATTTTATTTTCATTTTGGCAACAAATAGCAATATTATATAACTTCTTCCCAAACTTTTTATTTGTAAATTTAGGGATTCCTTCAACACACTTCCAACAAAAAACAAGACCTAATATGTCTTAAATCTGCAGGGGGTACAAGAGTTTTGCCGATGAATTTATTTACTAGACTGATTTAAATCATGTTATATTAAAATGTGGTAATATAATTTTTCATCAAATGTATTTTAAACAAAATTGTAAATAAATGACTTTTTAAATTTTCTTGTTATTTATTACAAACCTTATTTGACGGTACCGTAGAATGGGGTGGCTTTGGTTCTATGAGGTGACTTTGATAGAACATGAATATTTTATTTCAAGAGATTATGCAACTTAAATGTTTCATCCGTTATGGTAGTTTTCTCAATTAATTTCAGTGCACATGTTGATTAACTGTAGCGGAAGGCGTTTGTGGCGAATCAAAAGTACTCTTATAAATGCACTGTTGAAGTTTTTGTTTTAATTTGAAGATTTTAGATTGTGTAACTAAATTTAAACATACACTCCGGGGTCACTTTGATACATTTTTCGGGAGGACTTTGATATTTTATTTCTTTTTATAGTTTTCTTAATGAAACTTCAAACCATTAATTAATTTCAGGTTTTCATCATTATCTATATGAAAAGCCAAAATGCCGCGAGTTTATAAACGAAAGTTGAGATCAAGAAGCTACAAGAAATTCTCTGAAGAAACTCTTGAACATGCTCTGCTTCAAATAGTAAACCGAAACTTGTGTGTTAAAGCCGCTTCAGAAAGATTCAAAATTCCGTATGGTACTTTATATAATAAATACAAAGGGAAGCATGGGAAGAAACCAGGCCAAACTGCGTTGTCGGCGCTGGAGGAAAAATTAATCGTGTCCTACATTGTCAAAGGTGTCGATTAAGGATTTCCATTATCGACGTTAGATGTACAACTTTTCATTAAGAGTTATTTATAAAGAACTGGAAGAATTATTTCAGGTAAATTTAAAAACGGGGTAAGTCCTGATAACGGCTGGGTAACCCATTTTTTAGAGAGGCATAGTCAGCAAATCTCTGAACGACTTGCGTCTAACATTACTAGAGCTCGGGCAGGTATCACAAAAGAATCATATTTCAATAATTTAAGAGCAACTCTCTCAAATTGCCGTCCATCACACTTTTTCAATTACGATGAAACCAACGTTAGTGATGATCCGGGGAAAAGAAGATTGCTTTATAAAAGAGGGACCAATTACCCAGAGCAAATCACTAATCATAGTAAAGCCGCCACGTCAATAATGATGTGCGGTGCCGCTGATGGCACACTACACCTCCTTATATAATATATCGCAGCGAACATATGTGGGATGCGTGGACATTAAGGGGTCCACAGGGCTCTCCTTGTTGTAGTAGTGTATTTTGCGCAAGAGGAGCTAGATATAACCGAACAAAAAATGGGTGGATGGAGGTAACTGGTTTTACAGACTGGTTTAAGACCACATTATTACCACACGCAAGATGTCTGGAAGGTAAAAAATGATCGGTGACAACTTGGCGTCTCACTTTTCAGATCATCTATTACAACTGTGTGAATTGCACAATATTGAATTTGCGTGCCTTCCCTGTAATTCGACACACATATGCCAGCCTTTGGATATACCTTTGTTTTGAAGAATGGGTTCGAGGCTTGTGGCATGGTTCCTTTCGATGCAAATAAAGTCTTGAGTAAAATTCCAATCAACGATGATGTTGATTATGTAGAACCTCTGATTAACGACAGCCTCACAGACTATTTGATGAATAAGAAGTCCGAGATAGAAGTTACTAAACGTCGAAGTAAAAAAAAAACTTAATATCCAACCCAGTAAAAGTGTAAGTCGACATGTAACGGCGGATGACAGCTCCTCTGATAGCGAATTAAACAGCTATACCAGCGAAAATGAAATTGAAAGTGAAAATTATATGAAGAACCAATCATATGAAGATGAGATGAATACAAAACCATCTCTTGCTGAATTGAATGTTGGAACTTATGTGCTTGTAAAAATTATGTCAGGTAAACGAAAATGTATAAATTACGTATACGCCGGAAGGATACAAGAGAAATTACCTTTTGACGAATACGAACTCATTGGACTTATATCACTAGATGAAACCCATAAACATTTTAAAGTTGTGGAGACCGATGTTTTTAATGCTTCTTTCGCTGACTTAGCATTTCTAAGATCCCATCGGTTGAAACAAATGAAACAGCAACGAAAAGCATATTTCCTGGCAGAGTTGATGTTAAAGAAAAATAACTTGTTTTGTTTGCCTTTCATAATATATTCTTTTGACTTTTTTTACTATTTTATCTTGTTTTACTAATTTGCTAAAATGTTTTTTACCTCAATAAAGTATTAACTGCTTCTAGAATCATTTATTATATACTAATTATTGTGTATGTAGCAGCTATCAAAGTCACCCCAAATTATAATTGAAATATCTAAAAATTGGCTTGATCGATTAAAAAATGGGTTGACATTGATATTACTGCAGCTTTTATGCATCAACTAAGCTATTTTAAAATGGGGTATCAAAGTGACCCCACATCAATGGTGACTTTGATATACACTTTTTTTTTAGAGAATCCTCATTTGAAAACATATACACTATCAATTTAAATTAAATAAGCATAAAATGCATCCCAATGGTAACTTTTCCACATTTTTGGGGTGACCCATTCAAAAGTTACGCTAGAAAATACGGAAAACATTAACAAAGTCACCCCCTTCTACGGTATATATTTGTTGTTAATCTTTATAGAGGAACTTTACTTCGTTTTTTTTTCTATTTGTGTAGTATGCAAGACCCTTATTAATAATTATTATTAAATCAGGTTCTCTTTTCTCCACGGCTTTATGTGTTTTTTATTTCCATATATTTGCATTTAAAACAGAGCATTGTAAAATATCATGAAATTTATTTCCCATAGAAAAATAATAAAAATACAAATTAAATATAAAAGTTAGAGATTAAAATTTTCACAATTTAGTCAATATTTTCTTTTACTCTATTACTCTACAAAAAACTAAATGTACCTAATACAAAAATTAATATAATAACTATGATTTCCACACTATTCGTTCTATCCACGGTATGTATTCTGAAACTCTAGTATAAATAGCAGGAGTATTTTTTTGACCACAAAGTTTACCGAAAGAAGTCACTCCAACTAGGAAGAATTGGCACATATTTCCCTTTTTTGTCACTACAAGAGGACCTCCAGAATCTCCCTATAAAAAACATATTTTGCGTTATTATTATTTAAATATTAAAAAGAAGTGAAAACGAAATGTAGTGTATTAATAAAAAAGTTAAAAAAAACACTACATATTTCTAGGCACTACACATTTCTAAAATTCTGCATTACGTCCTCCGGATGATATTGCTCATTACATTTTTTAGCTAATCGAATTCTTCCCGGAAAACATGTTACAATTGGTACAAAGATGATGTAGAACATGTTCTGCTAAACAACCATAATAATTCCATTATACAGTGTGGAAACCAATTATGGAATAAAATTGTTTGTGTCCTTATTTTAGAAAATAATAAAATTCGTTGATATACCTTAACTTTTAAATTTAAATGTGCGCTTTTTAAACATAAATTTGAATGTACAGGGTGATCCACGCAAGTCTGGCATAGTCCATAATCTGTATTTTAAATGAAACACACTGTATATTTTTATGTTTTTAAAAGCTCCTTAACAACCTGATCTCAACAAACTATATCATGTAGGGTCTATAATGAATAATATAAGGTGAAATTTTGAAATTAGGTAAAATTTTCTTCAAAACAATTAATTAATAGAATGTCCTAGGTAATTGATTGGATTACATTAAAATAAATGCTCAAAATGTTCTCCACCTTGTGGTTGGCAATAACATAGTCTCCTATAAAACTCGTTCCGAACTTTGTTTAAAGTTTTAGGTGAAATAATCCGTATTTCTGTAGTTTTCTTTGAGATCTTCAATACTAGTTGGTTGTGTTGCATATACTTTGTTCTTCAGTTAACATCACAGAAAAAAATCCAAAGGCGTAAGATCTGGTGACCTAGCTGGAAACTCAAAAGTACCCCTTCGTCCAATCCATTTATTGAAGAAGATTTCATTCAAGTAATTTATCACCATTAAAGCATAAAGGGGTGTTGTACCGTCCTGCTGGTAGCAGACAGTTTCATGCGGTAGGGTCGGAACTGTTGGATTGGGATATAAGTTAGCCAACTGAGGAACAACATCGTCTCTTAGTATGTTTAAATATTTTTCCGTTGTCAAATTACCATCTACAAATATAGGACCAATAATCAAACATTCAACTTTTAAGAATACTGAGTCTCATGCATCCAATGAGGATTCATATCTACAGTTTTGTCGTTTTGTCATAATATCTCCGTTAAATGTAAATGTAGATTCACTAGAAAAAAGAATTGTGCTAAGAGCTATTTCATTTGTGTTAATTTTATACATAATTCTTTCGCAGAAATCCATTTTACGATCTGGATCGTCTTCTGTTAGCTTCTGCACAAAAGTCAATTTATTTGGATGAAGTTTTTCTTCATGGAGACACCTTAGGACAGTTGTGTGACTTACATTATTTTGACGTGCAATATGACGTGAACTTGACGTTGGATTCTCTGTGACACTTTAAAAATATCCACTTTCACCTCATCTTCAATGAGGTTTTCTTAATGGTTTGACATGTCCAAGTTCTCTGATTTGTGCATAAATTTTAGAAACAGTGCCTTGTCAAATATTAGGCAACTGATTATACCTCTGATTAAATAAGTTTTCTACTTCAACTTGACTTCTACAATTCTCCCCGTAACCGACCATCATTAAAATCTCAATTCGGTGGGTCTCAGTTAAATATTTCATTATTTCTGTAAGAAATTAGCTTTTAATTAGAAATTTATTATTTTCATGTAAAATGTCAACACACCAAAAACTGATTGATAACAATCCGCATTATTTACCGATTTAGTTTAATTAGCAGACTATCTAGACAGTTTTTACCTATTGATGACAAAAAATGTTAACACGGTTGCTAAGAAATTTTCCCCCAATATACTGACAGTTAGAGTAGAAGTGTATTGTCTGTATTTAGCTAATTTAAAATAATACCATAACACGTGGTAAATTATTAATTTCAAAATTCCATCTTGTATTATTCATTATAAACCCTACATGATATAGTTCGTTGAAATTAAGTTAAGAATTTTTTAAAAACGTAAAAATATAATTTTTATTAAAATAAGGATTATGGATTATGCCAGACTTGCGTGGATCACCCTGTACATTTAAATTTATGTTGAGTGAGTTAACGTGTCCCAGAGTTTTTTATTGTTTTCTATAATAAGGACACAAACAATTTATTCCATAAGTGGTATATACAGTATAGGAAAAGTTTATGGTCGGTATGGTAGGATATCTAACACAGATATAAAATCACATTTTCAACGAATAGACAAAGAAAATAAATATATTTCCCCTTGGTCTCCCCTCCATATTTTTTAGATACGCCCATTAATGAATGGCATACAATGGACCGCAGGAGTGTGACGTCACGACTGTCACATTGACATTATTACTTTCCAAACAAAAGTTGAAATGTCAAATCTCAAGACTTTTTAATTTCTATAAAGTTAACATTTTGCTTCCTCTGCGTGTTTTTTTACGATAATACCATCATAATTCAGAGTTCTATTTCTATGAAATATAGTTTAAAAATTTAAATAAAGAAATTGTAACCTTACTTTATTGATACATGCATTTTATTGCTATTAGCATAAAACAATGTGCTTTATTATTTACACAACCTTGTAAAATTGTTGTAGTAACTATTAGAATCAGTGGCGGCTTTTCTTTATGTGCTGCTGAGCTGCAGAACTACCAAACAACCATAGCAAATCTTAATTATTAAAGAATAATTAATATAGTTTTATTTCAAATCTGCCATATTATCATATTAAACATAAACTGTTAATAATAATTCACCAACAACGATGATTAATATTATTTTTTTTACGTATTTACTCCTCTAGTGAAACCGTATAATTTTTTTACGTATTTGGTGCTCCAGTGAAGCAATCTTTTTACGTATTTGCTGCTCCAGTGAAGCCGCGTCGATAACAACCGAAACACTGGCAGCGGTAAAATGCATTTATTAGGCAAACGGCGATCTTAGCCGATGTGCTTCGGCAATCGGCTGATTAACGGCCTCGGAAATGTGTTTGCGAGCTGCAATTCACGACAGTTATTCGTGACCGTTGCATCTGTGCCGTGTTTAGAAATTCTTAGGTTACAATTTTGTTTAATTTGTTTTGTTCGAGCGTGTTTAAAACAATGGAGTTTCAATTTAAATTAGGTGTAAATAAATTTCAAAAACTTCACTATCAACAACAGTTGATTATAAAAGAACGTGGCCGTCCTATGCCTGATCTTAATATTGAAGTGTCCGGTAAAAGCCGTGGAAAAACATATACGCGTAAATTTAATAAAGACATGTATCTACGAAATCAGTGGATTTGTGGATGTTCCGAAAAAAATGCTTTTTTCTGTTTTCCGTGTGCATTATTCGGCGCAGATAAAGAGGAAAAATTGTGGCGCGAGACAGGAGTGCGGGATCTAGTGCATTTAAGTGAAAAAATAAAGAAGCATGAAAACACGCAAACTCATATGAACAATGAAATGCGATTTGCATTATTTGGGAAACTTAATATACAGGCCCAACTTGACTCTGCTTATTGGATAAATATACAAAAACACAATGAAGAGGTGACGAAAAACAGGTATGTTTTGTCAAAAATAATTGACTGTATAAAATTCTGTGGGGCTTTTGAGCTCGCCTTACGAGGACACGATGAATCTGAAACATCAGATAACCCTGGAATTTTTCGTGGTTTAGTGAATTTTTCTGCTGAACTTGATAAAACACTTAGTGAACACCTTACAAATGCGACAATTTTCAAAGGTACCTCAAAAACAATACAAAATGATATTTTGGATTGCATGCTAGAAGTATACGCTGAGGAGATTTTAAACGAAATCAATGAAGCCCCATTTTTAGCAGTGATAGCTGATGAGACAACGAATGTTTCTATGAAATTTCAAATGGTCATTGTTTTTCGTTATGTAAAAAACGGTGCTCCAGTTGAAAGGTTTTGGACTTTTTTGCTTCCAGAAAAACATGATGCTGAAACCTTAGCTAACACAATTTTGAATGTTTTAGACCCAATATTAAAGAATAACAAAAATAAGCTCATTGCACAAAGTTATGACGGAGCAGCTGTTATGAGTGGGATACATGGCGGAGTGCAAACAATAATTAAGAGAAAATATGAAACTGCTCATTTTGTGCACTGTTACGCCCATCAATTGAATCTAATAATGTCAAGAGCATGTTCTATTAATTCCCAAGTACGCGTATTTTTTGGAGATTTACATGATATACCTGGATTTTTTAGTCATTCACCTCAAAGAATAGCTGTCTTAAATCAAATAGTTGGAAAAAATATTCCTCGTTCAATCCCTACACGCTGGAATTTCAATATTCGTACAGTAAATGTCGTTTACGAATATAGAGACTTTATTATTGAGTGTATGGAGCAACTAGAAGAAGAGTCAAATGCTATTACTTCCAAGGAAGCAAGAGGACTTAGACGTATTCTGGAAGATCAAAATTTTACTTTCTGGCTGACTGTTTTTCATTATATTATGCCACATGTTGACGTTTTGTACAATAATCTTCAAAAAAAGAACATGGACCCAACCGAAGCACAGAAAGCTATACATGTTTTTGAGCAAAGTATTAACAATGTCCGAAATAAAATAGACCCTATCATACATCAAGCTTCAAATTTAAATGCGGCGCCTAGTGTCCAAAAAAGGAAACGCCCAAATAACAGCCAACAGGATCACCGTATTGCCTGTCTAGAAGTTTGTGATGTTATTATAAACAATGCAAAAGAACGGTTTGCATATACAAATCATCTAGTTGCCGCAACACTTTTATCTTCAGAACATTTCGAAAAATATAATAATAAGTTTCCTGAAAATGAATTGGATTTAACTTGTACAGCTTATAACTTCTTTGATAAAAACCGTTTGCGAACAGAACTGTCAGTTTTGTATTCCAATATCGAGTGTAGAACATTAAAAGGTGCAGTGCCTTTACTAAAATTTATAATTTCTAATAATTTAGAGGACACATTAACAGAAACCAAAAAGTTGATACAAATTCTGGTGACTACGCCAATGACCACAGCAGAAGCTGAACGTAGTTTTTCAACTTTAAAACGGATCAAAACATTTTTAAGAAATTCAATGTGCGAAGACAGATTAACAGCCCTTTCCACACTCTCGATAGAAAAAAAGTTCATCGCTTCAATACCGAACTTTAACGATAAAGTAATCGAAAAGTTTGCGACAAAAAAGGACCGGCGTATTAATTTCCAATTTAGAAAAATGCAATAAATGTAAGTTAATCAGATTTTTATAGCATGTCGTTATTAGTTACTATTAATTAGTATTAAAGCTAATTTTATTGTTTTTGTTTTCGTATGTTATTCTATTTCTATTATTTTATATTGACCGTGGTTCATGCAGCACACCCTATAGCAGATGTCACGAGCCGCCACTGATTAGAATACTTAAATATTGCATTAAGCGGAAAGATTCTATAAAATAAATGAAAAAATAACGAAAAATACAAATTATCCCACACTAAACCAGGTTTGTTTGGAAAGTGAAACTGACGTATGTCAGTAAAATCTACGTCTTCACTCCTGTTGTCCATTATTTCCGATCCAGCTTAGCTTATACGTAAGAAACAGCGGCAGGGTTGCCTTATTACATATGTGGATAAAAACATTGAATTGATTTAAAAAATTGGCGGTCAGTGGTGCGGTTATATTGCCATTCAAAACTTAATGATGATATTAAAAATGAAACATTAATTGACACAAATACTGGTCAACAATTTCTAAAATCCATGAAAAATTTACAGATTCGCATTTTTATTTGACGAAATTGTAATCCAATTTTGAATAATATAAGATAATTTTGGCAACATCGCCATTCGTCGAGACGAGACAGGCCAACAGCTGTGCTATGCTATGTATATCTTTTTGGAGGTAACTTTGTAAGTGTGAAGATAAGAAATAAATTATGCCGACTGTTTATAGAAGAACGGGTACAAATAATAAAATGGTACTTTGGTACCATTGACAATTCAGTACAAGAAACTATCAATTTGTTTATTATGGCTTTTAAAAATAGGCTTATACCTATAGAAAAAACTGTATTCGCCATTATTCATCAATTTGAAAAGTTTGGCTGTACTAATGGCAGATGTAAAAAATGTTGCCCATCATATACCAGGAGTATTACCCGAAGATTCTGAATTTGTCGTCCTAGGGTGTAAAGGGGGATGTAGATGTCGGTGTGTAATATTTTGAATTGTCCACAATTCAAAATATTATTATTATTATTATTGTGGACAATTCAAAATATTACACACCGACATCTACATCCCCCTTTACACCCTAGGACGACAAATTCAGAATCTTCGGGTAATACTCCTGTGGCTTTTCTTCCGTATATTCGAAATGTCACTGATAGGATTGGCAAAATTCTTCGCAAAGAAGGTATCAGGACTACTTTTCGACCACCCAAGAAAATCTCACAATATCTACCCTCTCCTAAGGACCCATTACCGCCCCTATCTTCCTGTGGTGTCTATTCTATTCCTTGTTCATGTGGACATGTGTAGATTGGCGAAACTGGTCGTTCCGTCAAAACTCGGATTCAAGAGCATCAAAGATGCATTCGATCAGGTCTTTTCTCCCATTCTGCAGTTGCAGAACACTGCCAAGAAACCGGTCATTCCATATTGTTCGAAAAAACCCATATTATTTCTAAGAGCCCCTTCTTTTATTCCAGGAAAATCCGCGAATCTCTAGAGATCCGAAAAAATCCACATAACATCAATCGAGAGGAAGGATACTACTTGTCTCCCATCTGGAATCTCAGTCTAGAGCCTCCGTCCGGTCCCGCTACCACGATGCAGCCACATGATTGGCCAGCGCGCGCTTCTTGACGTTCGCGCCACGAAGTGTGCCGATACGTCCCGACACGACAGGTCACCGCGACTATAAATAGAGCGGTAGCGGAGTAATCGTCGGATTCACTCCCCGCCTCTCGACGCGTTAGTGTTCTGAGCTGTTGGACGTGAATCCCTGTCCTGGCATTTGGTTTTCACCCCTGGCTGCGTTGAGTAGTTGAGTTACTGTGACCAAATGCCCATCTTGGTAGTTAGTATTCGCCTCTGGTTGCGTTGAGTAACTGAGTTACCGTTGCTAACTACCCATCTTCCTGTCTTTTGTTTTCTTTTTCTTTTCTTTGTTCTCCTGAAGAAGCTACATACAATTGTAGCGAAACGTCGAGATGAACCCACTTTTGGGTCACTCACAAATGACACGGTCCAAACCCGGAAGACGAATAAATTATAATTCTGACTCTGGCCGTGGAAGCCTACGATCAGCATTCTTGTTCTTTATATAATTCAAAAAACTCTCTTAAAAAATTCTCACTAAATGAAGCTATGTCGATTTTCTATATGATCAAAGCAAGTTTGTAGTTAAAAATGTATTTTTGCAGTATCGACAAATTGTAAACGGTCACACACGCTCAACAAATTAATGAGATCAACTCTGCAGTACTGCAGCGGACAGGCCAGTCTGTCTGCGGTCAAATTGTACGATTTCATTGGATGCACGGTCACACACGATCAAAATCCTTGTCAATTTGTCGAACTCAACGAAGTTGAACAACGCCGCTATATCGTGAGTGGCCGGCTTTAGTTTCATTAATGCTATTTCGACGATATAAAGGGCGGAACTAATATACCTCTCTCTTTTTAAATAGTTATTTCTCACTCCATCTCACGTAAGATACATACCTACCATAAACTTTTACCTACACTTTATATATGATTGTTTAAAAAAACAAAGCAAAATCAGCTGTACGCCTTTACGAATACCTTTTAGAACCTTCAAATATCTGTATATTTTCAGCTTAGACAAACACAAAAAATGTAAAGCAAAAAGTAAACTTACATAACAAGTATCTTTTCCTCCCTCAAGTCGACCAGCACATAACATGGTACTTTCTATTCCTCTTGGTAGTTCTTTATCATTAGGGGGAAATGTTTTCATACATTTCTGATTGTCGTATATATCTAAAGTTACTTTTAATAATGTATCACTACTATCACCAGCAAAATCAGTTTTTCCCCATCCTGTAGCGATGCCTTGACCGCCAAGGTCATGGTTAAGATTTAGACAAGCGGGTCTCATAAAATTGTTAAACACGACTGGCTTTTGTGTTTCTAGAAGAGCAATGTCATTATATTTATACGGAACTGAATATCCTGGGTGAACAATTACTCGTGATATTAAATAATCCTTATATACTGAACCATCCTGATCTGATGATAAATCGAGTTCTCCAAGACGTACTACAGTTGGTTTGCCACTAAAACATAAATAAATTTTTGTAAAACTGCATAATTTTATCCTCTTTATGAAGCCATATTGTTAATTAAAACATACATAGGGTGGAATGCATAAAACGTAGTAGATGCTATTGCTTCAGCAAATAGTATCTAGTTTGTAGCATTTTCTTTTATATAAAGGAGGTGCTTTGTTGAAAAGACCGTACTACACCACCGAAGTACTTGCTACTGATCTGAAGGATCTACTACTAAACGTAGCGCCAGCCGGAGTGCCCTTATGCGCATCACACCAATCGTATTAAAACCAATTTTTCATGTGGTTTTTCATATGCTTGTGTTTTGTGAATAATTATTATTAAATAAGTAAGTAGTGAGTAAAAATGAGTGGTTTAGATTCAGAAGCGACAAAAGAGTTGGGAGAAGACAAAAATGAACAAGTATTGTGTGTTAATCTTCTTGAAAATTATCAAATTTTATTTGGTATCGAAAAAAACCTGGGTTCAAAACAAATTATGAAGAAATTCAAAAACATGAAAACGCAGTTTAAAAAAATTGTTGACGTAAAAAAACTGGTAACAAAAAAATCGTACTAACTGACTGGCAAAGAAAATTCTATGAGTTATGAAACATTGGAGAAAATCCAATCTTGCACAGGGTACCAGGTACTTATCTGGCCGGTGTAACAGAGGAGATTGGGTTTTCATCACAAAAAAATAATGATGAAAACGTTCTTTTTAGATCCAATTCTGGTTGCCAAAAACTAACAGGCAGAGCTCCCAAATATCATAGTGCGAAGGAGGAGTCGCTGATTGAACTACAGAAGACCTGTTTACGAAAACAAATTGAAGCAGCCGAAGCTCAAATTTCTTGTGCTCGAGCTTAACAGTTTTCGGCAGAAGCTCAAGAACGGGCCGCAAATGCATTGATAAAGTTTGCTGAAGCTGGTGAGCAATTAGTCAACCATATAGTTCAACATGATATGGTACAGTGACAAAATTTGTACGTAGATATGTATTTTTATAAAAACAAAGTTATAAACTAAATATGAAATAAATATGTTATTATGTTGTATTTTGTTTAATATTAATAGAATAAAAATCAAAATATTCATTACGAATTTTTATTATACACTGTACATGTGGTAATAATATATGTATTAGTTGGCATTACGAAATAGAGCCTCCGCAACCTCATTTCTACGTCCTGTGTCTCGATTTCAAATTTGTGCTTGATTTCCTTCAGGTATCTTTCAGGATCAGGTATCATTTGCATCTTGCACTACAATTTGAACTGGATCAAAATCATGGTACGAATCCTGCAGATGTTTAGATATATTGTGAAGTACAAATGCACTTACAATATGTTTTCAGTTTTTAGGCGTGAAAGTATACTGTAACATTGGAAAATGCCTTTTCAGCTAACCAAAACAGCCCTCGATGACACAACTTCTTTCGCATGAATTGTGTATTATAATTTTGTTAAATAGGTGTGGTTGAATTTTTAAAAGGTGTCAACAACCACACGGTGCAATACCATATCTTTCATCACCTATCAACCCCCCCCCGTACTTTCCCACTTACCCATTTAAAAAATCAAAGTTATGACTGTCACTTGAAGAAGGATTGCTTAAAGTTCGAAAAATTGATGCTATAATATACTATGATTATTTTAAAAATCGACCTCTTCAAGCGTTTTGCTTATATACTAAAAATAAATGAGTTAATATGGGGGGTAAAACTTATTCCAGCGCACTGTATGAATAAAACTGCACGATTTATGATAATTACCTGAATATTTTACGATAAATATCGTTATTGTATATTCTTCCTAGTTTGTCGATTTTTCTACGACGAACATTCATAAATGTATTTTTAACAAAAAACATATACGCCGAAGTCGTTCATCCACCAACTTCACCTAAACTGAAGCAAATTCTACTAAACTAGCAAATACTTCAAAAACATAGTACATCCTTCTATGTATCTGGTAAATAGTAGCAAATACTACCGAGGAAAGCAAAATGCTTTGTAAGTGTAGCATATACTACAAAAATGTAGAATTACTTGAAGCATTAGCAGATACTACGTTTTATGCATTCCACCCAATAAATGATCCGGACTGTTCATAATGAATAGTGGGAATAATATTGTCGTTCAATCGTCACTTTACGGCAATTAATTTATCTTTTTATACTATACTAGGTCTCAAAGTGACTAGTCTGTATAGGGAAGATATGCAATGCTAACCTTATGGGAATTTCGCCAAGATGGTGCCAGTTTTATGCAGTGAGCGATGGCGTTCTCTATTGTCTACCTTTGAAAACAAACGGAATAAACCAGGAGTTCTCAACAAGTCCTCCCGTACAATTATATGTAATTTACAAATATCGTTTGCTAATAATTTTACATAATACATTATTTGTTTCTAATAGTAACTTATCAACTTTTATCTTTTATTAGTAGCAGTAGTATAATAAAATGTGCATTAAATAAACATTTGTTTCAAAAGTTTTTCAAATACTTTCTTCAAAGTTATTCAGTAATTAAGAAGCAATTAGAGTAATTCTTGTACAGGATATGTATAAAAGCTTGATACATCCACGGCCTTAATTAGTCTTTATTTGTTCTTCGGATTGCGTAAACATATTCGAGTTACGATTATTTGTACCATCTTGGATGTACTGTTACTGTTTTGATATTATTATTTGTTGGTGGCTGTTGTTGTGATTTGCTGTTGGCAATTATTGTTATTTTCAGTTGTTGGCTATTGTTATATTTGACACCGAATTTTTACCGCAAAATGGAGGAAATTGTTCAATGGAAACGTGGAAAAGCTCTGTAACTTTCAGATAAGCAGATACTAATGAATATTATTAATTGTCATCTTAATCAGGATAACAACAATTCTGTATCAAGTGTAAAAGTGTCAGAAATGAGTGGTGTTTGCGAAAAGACTCTGTTTCGTATACGACAGGAATATTCATCACCTGCTGGTTTACAATTTCCAAAGAGCAGGCCCATGAAGCGAAAAGTTGGTAATTCTCGTGACAACAAGTACGATGAAGGTGTCAGGGGTCAAATTCGTACCACCAACAATAAACACCATGAAAATGTCGAAGAAACTTTGCCTAACTTTTCACGGGCCACGCTACATCGCTTGCTGAGTGACATGGATTTTGTGTTTATAAAACGTGGCAAAATTTCAATTTTGATTGAAAAACCAGAAATCATCTCGTGGCGTCATCGGTATTTACGCGCAATTCGTAAATACCGTGCAGAAGGATACAAAATAGTGTATTTGGATGAATCAAGGGTAAATATCGGGCATAGTGTGAAAAAAGAATGGGTTGATAAAGCAATTACATCTCATCGCGATGCTTTTGTTCGTAGTCTGACAACAGGATGAAAAGCTCCAACAGCTCGTGGTGCACGGTTCGTTTTATTGCACGCAGGATCTACCAGTGGATTTGTTGATGAAGCAGGGCTCACGTTTTTTTCAAAGAAAAATACTCAGGACTACCACGACGAAATGGATGGACCGATTTTCGAAGATTGGTTCGACTTAATGCTAAATTTGCCAGAAAAACCTGTTGTGGTAATGGACAATGCCTCTTATCACAGCCGAAAGTCAGAACAAATTCCCAACAGTTCAACACTAAAAAAAGATATTCAAGAATGGCTTCTGTCAAAGGACCTATTTTTTAAAGAAGGCTACCTAAAATGCGAGTTACTTGATGTAGTGAAGGCCTTCAAAGCAAAATATGACAGGTACGTAATAGAAGATATTGCCAAAAGGCACAATGTGAATATTCTGAGGCTCCCACCCTATCACTGTGAACTCAATCCCATTTTGTTGGATGATATCGAACCAATTAATTATAAATATAAATAACGGAGATAGTGATGACAGTGACGATAATAATGATGATGATGATAGTTAAGCAGAAACTAAATGTGACAGCGGTTGACAGAAAAAGGAACTAAATATAATGGTGTATAATTACGATTACTTATTAGTTTTATTTTCGGATATTTCTACGTTTTGTTACTGCCAACATATACAGTGCGATTTTTAAAAGTCCTTCCCCCCTTAACTTTTAAACGGAACAATACACAAATAAAATGTTTATAATTTAGTTTTATTTTATTCGATTTTATTTAAATCTATAAACAACTGGTTTAGCTAGCACATACTGTAGAATTAAAAACAAACTGCTTGTGTGACAAATATTAGGCATTTCTATTTTATTTTAATTTAACCCAAGTATGCTGTAGCAAATATTACTTAAATTTGAGAACCACTGACAGAAGGAAGCCAGGCAGAGCCGCTAGTGGGCATTAGTACTTAAGCTACCCTCAACACAAAAGATGGATTAGGCTAAGTAGTAAGAAGTGGCGTTTATTTTAATACAAGTTTGCAAAGAAGTATGGTATTGATGTTGTGCATTTACTCTGTACAGACAAGTCACTTTTGAGACAATCTATAGAAAACAAATTTCCCAATTTAAGAAATTTGGCAAAATCAATTATTTGTATTTTTCCAGCACCTATTTATGCAAACAAACATTTTCAAGAATAAATTCCATAAAATCAAAATATAGAACGAATTTGACGGATGAAAATTTACAAAACTTGTTTAGGATCTCAATATTCCAAACACAACCGGATTTAAAATAAATTATCAAACAATATTCAATAACAAAAAGTGCATTCAATTTTAATGACTGAATAAAATTAAAGATAAACTATTCTCAGTAATATTTTATGTGTTTTGTATTTATATATTTGCATATGTATGCATAACATGTAATTGGAATTGTATTTTCTTTTTTTATTTTTTATAAGAATTGTAAAATTTTTGTTCTTTGACATTATTGTTATTAAGCTTGTCAATAAAGAATAAAATTTTTCTGTATTTATTTTTAATATTTATACTCGTATATTATGATATAAAAGCACTATTTAAGTTACATTTGAATGTGCGGCCCCCATAAAAAGTTTTATTTTAAAAATGGCCTGCCGTCCGAAAAAGGTTGCCAACCCACCCCACCCCACGTTTATATTGCATGAATTTTAAATATGGACACTAAAAATCATTGCTTGTTTTAACATAGCTTTAGTGATAAATTTAAAAATTCCTATAGATCAATTTTTAGTTGCTCCCCTTTTTAGAAAATATGGAATGAGTACTGCAATAAAACTACATATAATATATTAAAAGTTAAACTTTATTCTACAGGAAAATTCTTGAAGCAATTAGTGAAACAAAGAAATATTTTAAATTTTTGGCATTGAACATTGGGAGTTCCTTCACAATTAGGATATTTACATCTTCCTTTTTGTTCAAAATATATGTACCAATGACCCATTTGATCTTTTCTAACTTCTTCGCAAAGAATGGCTGCTATTGCATATTTCATAGTGTTTTCCTCGTATGCCGTGGACACATTGGAATTACATGGACGCCGTTTTTTAAAATAATTTACCTTATTTTTCAAACAAAGGGTTTGTGGAATTTCTGCTTTGAATTCTAGTAGAGTTAACTGTCCTGTTTTTGGTATTTTTTAAAGAATTTCAATCTCTTCTATATAAAAGCCATGCTTGAACCACCTTAATGTGAACAAAGTAAAAAAAGAATTTGTGGTACTACTTCTTTGACCTAATCGTTATTCTATATAAGTCAATAAGCCAATCAACGTCTCGTACTCTTATTTTATAAAATAATGGATAATCAATATATTGTTTAGAGATATAAGGTTCTTTTTGCCAGCTGCATACGTGCTTGCAAATAAACTTAGAATAGTAACATCTTTATTGTCATCCCACTTTACCACAGACAGGAGAACTCCATGGAAAATAGATTTCTGTTCCTGAAATGAATCTCTGCATTTTTTTCATTTCTTTGTCTTTCATTCTACAGCCAGTGAGTTTATTTTGCCTTAAATTCTCTACGAATGGTATATAGTTTGCTACTTTGTTATTTGCTACTTGATGCTGTTAAATCAATTGTCAAAGTACAATTTATAATTCTGGTGTTTCGGAATAACCTCTGATAACATTACCAGCTGAACCAATATATTATATTAAATGATGATGTTATTTTCTTGTATAAATTTGAAAAATGAAAATAAATTTTCACTTCAGTTTTTGTTACTGGGGGGTTATTTATTTGGATTTAAATTGAGACTGATCAATCAACTCATCGTCAAAAAAATTTAGTAAAGTATTCTATTAGCTGTTTTATCTCGTTCGCTGCAGGTACATTACCTTTCCATTTTGGAATAGGTAATAAAATTTTTGTTTTACAGGGTTTCGATCTGTAAGAAACTTTTAACTTTTTACCTCGAATATTAGATGAATCTTTCACTTCGTCTTCAGATGTCCTACTAGAAAGAATATCTTCCTCCTCATCTTGAGCGTTTTCATCCTAAAAAATATTGATATTAGAAGTGTAACTCGTGAGAAGTGTCTAAAAAATATACTTACAGATACATTTCTATTGCCGAAGATAAATCAATAGCGTCATCTTCATCTAACTCGCTGTCATCAGACTCATCTGGCACAGATCTACTAAGTTCCGTAAAATCTATTTACCCTAATCTGAGGTAGTTCCATGGCGTGATGGTATAAAGTTACCTGAAAGCAACGTCCGTTTAAAACTTGATTTGTTATTCCAATTTTAATTGTATACTTACCAATTGTATATAAATTAATTATCTCACAATTTTATTTCAAATATTAAGGGAACTTTGTCTTTAGAAATAGTATAAAGTGACTAAAACTTCCAAGAACTTGTACCACACACGTGTAATGACTGATTAAAACTTTTGGCGGGAAAACTTTATCTGATAGGGATGACTGTTATGGGAAGTTGCACGATCACTTTGATAGAATATGTCTTTGACTGTACAATATGCACTTTAAAATCACTAAGGGCTAAAAGATTAGTTTTTAATTTAATTTCGGTGTTGTTTGAAAGCAACGCTTAATTAATAAAGTAGTTTGTTATCAAACCTCATAGTATCTTGACAGTCAGCTGCATAGCAGCAGAAGAATTAATATAAGTATTAAGAATATAGTTTCATTTATTTAAATTTATGTTGTGTTCAACTTACACATCTCTTGCATAAGTACAATGTGCAGCAGTAAGAACGAATCTATCGCTTATCAATGTTCCTCCACATCTCCATTGTTCAGAAGTTGTATTGAAACCGATTGCAACCTACAAAGTAACACAAATTGAATAAATTTTTTATTATACATGACCTTATTTATCTACCATGAATGGAAATTCGCCTGCCTCGGCGGGTGTACCACCCACTATTAACGGTACAGTGTTATAATCACATTTAGGAGTTTGGTAAGACATAGGTGTTGCATCTGAGACCAAGGATAAAACTTGTACTTCAGATGTAACTGCTTTACTATATTCTTGACACTCTAAAACGATTTCAGTAAAACGTTAACAAAACAGTAAATAAACTATTATTTATAAAAATTACTTTTTTCACTCATTTTTCCTGGTGGATTTATATTGCCATTTCCATTCGTTTCAAAGTTAACAGGGAGTAGATTATCATTTGCTTCCACCGTCACTGCAATTAAAACAAATATATACAGACAAACATTTGCGAAAACATACCTATATAAAAATGACAAATATTATATTTTATTCTCTAACCACATCTTCTCACTTCTTTACTTTTATTTCAAGAGATTTTTTATTTAAGCACTGCAAGAAGTTTAGTGAAGGACAAACATTTTCTTTTAGTTTTCTTCCGATTCTCAGTTTTCCTGGGCTATATCTCTAGACTAGAGGAGGGCTGTCAAAAAGCTGTAACGGGCCAAAAGAAAGACCCAATGGATGGTTTATTAAAAAAGAAAGCATCAGTTTTAAAAATTATTTCCCTTAGTTTAGTTAAAATCAAATGATATGACTGGCATCTGTGTTGCTTGCACAATGCATCTATGTCAACTGCTATTTTAGAAGTAACATGCGCAGAATGCCTATAAGATGGCTAACTGTTATAGATGATCTGGTTTTTGATTAAATTCATATTTCATACTTGAAAAAATCTGTTTGCAAGTTTTAAGTGCTGTTTAAAAAACTAAAGAAACAATATGAAAAATGGGGCCTCAATATGAATATATCAAAGACAGCGTATCTTAAAATAGGAGATGATGAAGGAGATCGAGAGTTAGAAATTACAAACACAAAAATATGCAATGAATATAAACATCTCGGATCTATAATATCTAAAGAAGGCATTACCAAAAGAGACATCGAAAACAGAACGCAGCAGGGAAAAAAGCGGTAAACATTCTAAACTCTCTACTATGGTCTAAAGATATTGGACAAGAAACGAAACTGACAATCTGTCGAACCTTGGTAGGGCCTATTATGACTTATAGAGAATAGAAATAGAAAAGTATTTTCTAAGGATAGCGTGTGGTGTATCCAAAAAAGATCAGGAGTGAAGATATGAGAAGGAGGACAAATACTGTAGATTCCAGTGTAGACAGAATTGAAACGAGATAACTAGTGTGGTATGGGCACGTGAAGCGAACGAATGAAGATAGATGGCAAAGAAAGCTTTAAAATACATACTATAACAAACAAGAAGAAGAGGAAGGCCTTGAGTTGCCTGGGAAGAAAATGTACGGCACATAATGAGAGATAGAGTCATCAAAGAAGACGAATGATGGATAAAAAACGATGGCGGTCGAAATTCGAGAAGCGGCAGAGGTTGTAGGAACCTGGCTTATATATATATATATATATATATATATATATATATATATATATATATTATTATATATATATATATATATATATATTATATATATATATATATATATATATATATATATGGCTACGATATGTTGACGATACATTCGTCATTTGGCCCCATGGCAGGGATGCTTTAGTATCTTTTCAAACTCATCTGAATGGTATACATCCTAGTATCTAGTTCACGATGGAGATGGAAACTGATTCATCCCTACCGTTTCTCGATGTTTTCATCAAGAAAACCAATCTCAAGGTTTCCATTACTCTGTTTATCGAAAACCCACACATACCAATTGTTACTTGCATGCCTCTCACCATCCACCTTCACAAATTAATTCAGTCATTAATACCCTTGTCTCCAGATCAATACGCCTTTCTGATGATGCAAGTAGACCCTCTGAGCTCTCTTGTTTAACACAAGCCCTAATCCAAAACGGTTACCACGAAAATCACATCAGTAGGAGCATTCACAGACATCAATCTCCCACTCATTCTCAACCCAAAGACTCAGACCCTTATCATACGAAAGCTTTTCTTCCTTATATCAAAGGTGTCACTGACAAAATAGACAGAATTCTAAAACCAAGAGGAATAAAAACAATATTTACTCCCCAACAAAAACTTTCATCTCTTGTCCGATCTATTAAAGACGATATTCCAAATGAACAACACGGAGTTTATGAAATACCTTGTGCAGACTGTCCTTGATCCTATATAGGCCAAACAAATCGTAGAATCCAAAATAGGGTTTATGAACATTCCATTTATGTTCGCAATTCTGATTTAATTTCAGCTCTCGGTCAACACCATCTTCATACAGGTCATAAAATTGATTTTGAAAACTCCAGAACCATAGCCCCCATCCGCTTCTATAAACCAAGAATTATCCGAGAAGCCATAGAAATAGACAAAAGCCAAATTGTCTTAATAAAAGAGATGACGCCATACGGTCACCTTCTACATAGAGACGTCTCATAAAGAAAATATCGCTCCCTCCATCCAGCGCCAACCCCCACCTAGGCCACGCCATCATCGACGGTATAAATGAACCGTCTCCTGTTCCTAGCCGTAGTAGTGACAGCGCAGTGATCAGTGAACAGTGTAGTAGTGTCTGGGGGCTCGGGAAACTGAGATCTCGGAAGCCCCGAGGAAGGCATCAGAGAGGATGCCGAAAGCTCGGCAAAATGGATATCGACGCGGTTCAACCCGGAAGACTGGTGAGTTTGATATTAATTTTAGTAATAATATTAACTAAGTTTCATATATATATATATATATATATATATATATATATATATATATATATATATATATATATATATATATATATATATATATATATCGTCGGCGAAAGAGCAAAATGGTGTATCTCATTTTTAGCAACTTTTCAGTAGAGACAAATAATATGTTTATTTCGTTTTAATAGGAGCAGTTTTTATTAAAACACAAAATTATACAAGAAATGCAATTTTTAAGCTGTCAGAAGATTATCATGTTAGTTTTATTGTTTTTTTGTTTGTTAAAATTTGAGTTACACCATTTTGACACATTTTTAAATGAAGATACATGGATTTGCACGCAAGAGTAATATAATAAAATAAATTCTAATACATTGAAATAAAATGTTACATTTTTTATTTTAGCTTAGTGCACAAAAACAAAATAAAGTAATGCATGAAAAATAAAAATAAATCAAATATGAAGGGTTGAATTGAAATAGGCATTCAATTATGAGGCAGATTATCATAAAACGACCAATAAACTTTGTCAATGACTTTTTTTAAATCTTGTAAATGATTAAATTTTTCTAATTTGATTTTTAATGGTCGGCTATATAATGGTCGAAGTTGAATGTTGTCATGATTTGCCATAGTTGTTGGAAGTTTCTTCCAAGATGAAATATATTCCGTCTTATAGAAGATTTCTTTTTCGTATTTAATACATTTCAAATCGTTAATACGCGGATCTCCCCGTCTGGTCCCAGGTCGAATTGAAGAATAGTATAAAATATTACCAAAGTTTGTAAAAAAATTATAATCAACATATTTGACTGTGTAGGGACGGATTTTACAAGCTTCTAAACAAACGTTTATGTAATCCGTTGGTACAAATATGCGACGACCAACAAGCTTTCTTTCTATTGCTGAATGGCAGCTATCAACTTCCATCTGCGTATGCCCTTTAGTCAAAAATTTTTGGCAGATTGTTACGCTGCTTTTTCTGGCAAAATAAAGCAAAGCGTTAGACAACGTATTGTTTTTATTCTGATAACCGCAGTTGTCAGAATAGATAATAAATTCTTTAATTTGAGAATTGTCATCAAGGCGAAATTTTAAATAGTCTAATAAAATTGAGGCAAAAATACTGGATTCTAACCCACCGTTCCTTCGTGCCACAAATAGCACCATACAGTCTTGGAAGCCAAATCAAAAATTGTGTAGTTATGAACTGCCAGTTTTGTTTTTAATAAAACGCTGTGGCTTCAACGCATGGTGCTAACTTAACGGCTTGCATGTCAACTGTTATACAAACTATATTTTTATTTTTCATGCATTCATCTTTATCTTTTCTTTTTTCATTTCTAGACGCTTCTTTCTCTTGTTGGTGTTTATTGTACTCTTCTTCACTTATATTTCCAATTTCGTGGCCCATACATGTGTCGCAAAGATCCTTTTTAGGGCTATGGATGGATATTTTTTGATTTTCCATTTCCAACTGAAACATAGTGCGGCTCAAACTTTTTATTGAAAGTCGTTGACATTCTACCTTGTATGCTGAATATACATCACTTTTTTTCTTAAAAATAGGCTCTAAATATAATCGTGAAGATGAAGCACGGCAGTAATGCGATTCGAGCTTTGGTAAAGTTGTTAAAAAGTCTGATAGAAACCCTTTTGAATGCTTTAAATTTGCCGTTCTTGATTTGGTAGGTGTTTTCTTATTTTCAGCTGCAACATGAATTACCATTTTCTGATTCTTGACGCCAACGGACTGCCACTGATTGAGTTATTCCAAGGGTGTTGAGAAACATTTTTTTGCAAACTTGAACTCTTTGCTCATTGTTCATTAAGTAGTACTCATAAGAATTAGATCTTCGACTGGCTTCTACAGTAACTTGGTGTGGTTGCTTGACTTCTATTAAAGATGCTACGTAAACTTTTTTCATATCCCATGTCATCTTTTGCCAAAAACTATTAAACAAATTCATGCGAATATTTTCAGAAAAATTAGAGCAACCTCGCTTTTTTGATTTTATACAATATTGAGATTTACATTTTAAACGAAGGTTTCGTGCCGGTCGATTTTCAGTTAACCTATATTTACCATCATCTTGATCTTTCTTCAAACCTTTGTACTTTTTTACCGTACATTCGATTAAGTTTTTCTTGTTTTCTACAATTTTTTCTTTTGTTATCATTTTCCTTATTCTCTTTTTCTTCATCATTGGTAGAATTCTCAATATCATTAGGTGCTTGGTCGTTCGTTTCACTTGCATGGGGTTCGTCATTTAGCTCTTCAGTGTTATTTGAAAGTATCTCAATAATAATATTTTCCGTACTCGTAGGTATTTCCAATTCAGAAATATTATTCGTTGGGGTTTCGTTTTCAGATAATAATGTATTATTGTTATCATTGTGATCATTGGAAACATTCAATAACAAGTTATTATTAGAATCAGTTTCTAATATGTCACGATCCATTATTTCTCCTTCACTAGGACGTTCTTCTATGTTACAATTATAAAGCTCCTCGCTCTGACTCTCATCGGAAAACCAGAATTCAGCACTGTTCAAAATATCTTCTAGTTCTCTTTCGGTTAGCGCTTCATTGGGTCTTTTATTGGCCATTGTGCCTGAAAAAAATTGAAAATTTAATTATTTCAATTTATATAATGATTTAATACGTTTTAACCCATTTTTGGCTTGGATTCATATTTTTTAACAGGTAAAAATAATTGTTACAATTATTAACTATTGCAAAAACGTGTATCTGGCAAATAAATATGTTCAAAAACGTGTATCTCAATGCTGAAGTTGTTAACAAGTTCTGAGCATTCAATCTATCAAAAATTACTTTCAAATGAATTCTACCTTAAAGAACAATTTTTTAAAAATAGCTTAACACTTACCCAACTAATTTCTAAGCTTTATTTCACAGTAAAAATCCGGACGAACAATCTGGTGCAACTAAACAAACCACACAATACCGATTCTGGCGCTTTAAACTTAGTTACACCTTTTTGCATGCTGTGGAGAGATACACCGATTTGATTTTCTGAAATAACTTAAACACGAAATTTTCTACAGTTAAATGGTTTTGCACTAATAGAACTATTGCTATTTCTTACGAGATGGCGATAAAATGTCAATTTTGATATTTTTTTTAGATACACCATTTTGCTCTTTCGCCGACGATATATATATATATATATATATATATATATATATATATATATATATATATATATATATATATATATATATATAAATAAGGGTACTTCTTTATGTACAGTTTTTATAAAACTGAATAATAAGGGAGATAAACCCTTTAAAGGGGTGAATTGAAATTCTTATTTTTTCAAATATCTTCCAAAACGGTTTTGAACACGGAGTTCATATTTTGGGAGTGATAAGATACTAGGATAATTAATTTCATGTCATCACCTACACATTCTATATTAATACAGGGTAGTTTTGGAGGGTAAGTGGGGGTTATTGCGTCACATGTTTTTTAATTTTTACATATTTAAAAAAAATATATTTTAAAAATTATTTCCTTAGACTTTTCTACGCAAAAAAGATGCTCTTGTAATATTTCGATAGATATCACCGTTTTCGATTTATTTAAACTCGAAGGTATACATGTATTTTATTGTAATCGTTACATTTATTAATATTCATCAAGTATGCTTTGGAATTGACACTTGTAGTAGCAATAATATTATAAATTAATGAAAAACTTAATTAATACGTAACATTTAATTAATAGAGAAAATAATATTTCACAACAAAGTTCAAAATGTCCTCCATTTTGTTGAATACATAATCTAATTCTTTTATTTAGCGAACACATTAATCCATTTAATGTTACTGGATCGTTTTGTAAATCGGTAAATACTTGTTCAATTTTGTCTCTTAACTCATTTACTGTATTAATTGGAGTGTTATACACTTTTGATTTCAAATAACTCCATACTGTAAAGTCCATTGGATTAAGATCACAACTACGAGCAGGCCAATGAATCGGTGCATCCGCACCCCGGCCTATCTACCTATCAGGGAAATGTTCATGTAACTACCTTCTACAAATTCTTGTGTAATGTGTTGTAGCACCATCATACATGAAAAACATGTTTCTTCGTATTTGTAATGGAATATCTTCCAAAATATCATGTAAAATATTGTCTAGAAAATTGTAATATATGTTACCATTTAAATTTCCGGGAAAGATGTGGTATCCTATGAAACTATTTCCTAAAGTAGCTGCCCAAACGTTTATTTTAAACGTGTGTTGGAGTAAATATTTCTAGAATTGAACATACCTTGTCTTGTAAATGTGGCCTCGTCTGTAAACAGAATGTTACTTAAAAAAATTGGTGCAGTTTGAACTTTATTTTGCAATACTTCACAAAAATCAACTCTAAGTAGCATATCGTCAGGTAACAATTCCTGCACCTGTAGATAGTGGTAAGAACGTAATTGCTCTTCATGCAGAACTCTTAAAACACTTTGATGGGAAATATTCGTTCTTAATCCTAACCTGCGTGTACTTATTGTGGGTCATTTATTACAGCATCCAATATTTGCTGTTCAACACGAACATTTCTTGCTTCTCTACGACGACCAGCATCTGTATTCCTTCTTTGAAGACAACCAGTTTCTCCCAGTCGTCGTTCAGTACTTACAAAAGTCCTGGCATTGGGAATATTTCTGTTCGGATACTTATCTCTGTAGCGTCTTACAGCTGCAGCAGCATTTCCCAAACATTCCCTAATACTAAAAGTATGTCTGCCATCTCAGAATTTGAATAGTGTGCCATATTGCGGGCAAACAATTTAAAAATATAGCAAAAGAGACGTGGTTAAACAAATTTCACTGTCGAGTACAATAAAAGTGTAGATAAAATAATTTAATTGTTATTAAACGTCACTGACAATTCATAGATACTTGAGATTAAAGTGTTGTTGCTAACACAAGTGTCAATTCCAAAGCATACTTGTGAGTATTAAGAAATGTAACGATTACAATAAAATACATGTATACCTTCGAGTTTAAATAAATCGAAAACGGTGATATCTATCGAAATATTACAAGAGCACCTTTTTTGCGTAGTAGAAAAGTCTAGGAAACAATTTTTAAAATGTTTTTTTAAAATATGTAAAAATTAAAAAATATGTGACGCAATACCCCCACTTACCCTCCAAAACTACCCTGTTATTAATATAGGATGTGGTAGGTGGTGACATGAAATTAATTATCCTACCCAAACAGCACAAGTACGTCCCATGGACGTCCAAAGGATGTACCTCATTAAATGTCCGGACATCCCACGGACATCCGTTTACATAATTTGGACGTCCCCGGGACGTCCAATAAGAACTATGTGTTACCAAAAAGTACGTCCCCTGGACGTCCCAGGGATGTTCATGGGGACGTACATAGTACATATACAGAACTTAATACGGACTTATATAGGACCTAAGAAGGATGTATTTGGGGACATCTATTGTACGTCCACATGGACTAATATTGGACCTAAATGGGGATGTATACAGGACCTAAAGGGAACTTAAAATTAATAAATGAAAAGCAAATAAATGGGATTTTTATTGTGTACTTATATTAACATATGTATTTAAATTTATAGTATTTTTTAAGCACATTACTTCTACTTACTTTACAAACGTGCAACACACCACAACCACAAAAATTACCTATAAAAGTCCTATATACCTACTTAATGTCTATAATAATAAATTACCAAACTATAAACTAGTATCGAAAGCAATAACTAATTCTAATTACAACCACAACCACAACGATTATAATTCGAGAAATAAACTAAACGAGATAAATAGAAGCGTCGTTAAACATAACCACATTCTTCTTTTATCTCCTAATTTTTAAATTTCAGTTCCACTACAGAACAAAATTTTAGAGATACAGATCTGCTATAGGATAAAGATTTTTCTCTAAAAGGAGCCTCTGTCTGTTTTCGTATAAATTAATGGTATTTTAAAACTAAAATATAACTTTTTAAAATAAAGTTTAGTAGGAAGATTATATTTTGTAAAAAATATGCTTAAGTAAAAAAATGACACAGTTAACACCTAGAAAACGTCCCTAATACATCCTAATGGGAACGTCCCTTGGACGACCTTATGGGACGTCTCTGGTATGTCCGACTAGAAATATCAGTTGGACGTCCCTCGGACGTCCAAAAGAAGTCCCGGGACGTTGTGGACCTTAAAACGACATAAAAATGGAGTCAGGGATGTCCTGTGCTGTCTGGGTAATGTCTTATAATCACTCCCAAAATATGAACTCCGTATTCAAAACCGTTTGGAAAATATTTGAAAAAATAAGAATTTCAATTCACCTCTTTAAAGGGTTGTATCTCCCTTATTATTCAGTTTTATAAAAAAAGTGTACATAAAGAAGTACCCTTATTTTTGGACGTACTATGAGCTCTAGAAATTAATGTACATAATTCTGGGACCACCTTGTATATATATATATTATATAGGTATATATGTAGGTATATATATATATATATATATATATATATATATCTATATATATATATATATATATATATATATATATATATATATATTATATATATATATATATTATATATGATATATATGATAATATCGTCTACATATTTATTCGTATATCGTTACACAAATATTTAAAATTTATTAAGTATACTAATACCTTCGCAACAAACAATCGCAGTAATCAAATCATTTGCAAAACCACATAACGTTTGATCAACTCCTCGCTTGGCCTGCCTATCTGCTTCTGGACAGTGAGTAATTTCTTTGCAAACTCCTCTTTTACGGGTTCCTTTGAATGTACATCTGTCGCCGACTAAAATATAAAATTTAGATGTTAAATAAAAGAAGATTGCATTTTAAAAAAATTGCTGTCATATTTTCGGCCATACGCCATGCTAGCAACCAACGTGTCATGGACCAGATCAGAAATCTCCAGGTATCAAACATTCGCTGGATGGGTCAAGTATAACGGATGCAAAATGGTCTAATCTTCAAGAAAATCATAAGGCAGACATTAACGGGAAGAAAACCTTAAGGAAGACCCAGGCTTAAATATTATTAGTAAAAAAGGTTATCAAATGATAGGTAACTTAAATATTTTTGTATTATAGCAATAATTAATATCTTTTAA